AAGAAAATAAAACAATTTCCAGCAGCAAGGAGATATAATCAATCCTTCATGTCATCTCCCTCAGCAGCATGGGATGTCTCAGCAAATTAAGGAACTGGTGGTACTGGATGCATCGGTGCATGAGCAGCATCAGGTACTGGGTAATGTGTAGCTGGGGGAACAAACGGATACTGTGGCCGGTAAGATGCATAATCCACGCCCCCAGCCTGAGCCAATCCCTCAAGGATGCGAGTCTGGTAACTGTGATGAATGGACATGAATTCCATCTGTGCCTGCATGTGCAAGTAACTCGGGAAATCCTCGTAAACTAGCTCTTGTGGTGGAATAGATACCCTGAAAGATGATGAAGAGGAAGCATCAGCTGGTGGAATCTCAGGAGCACGGGGTGGAAGGGGTGCTCGGGGTGCTCTAGGAGATGCAGGAACATGCAGTCCTATAGTGCCAGCCTTGGCTAATAGCTCATGATCAACCTTAGCACAAATATTGATATAAGTATCATGATTCATAATAGGATAAGGAGCAATATCTAAATCCTCCTCGTCAGAAATCTCCAAACCGGCCTGGACACACAAATGAGATATCAACGAAGCATGTGCCAGGAGGTGCTCTTTCCTGCTATCCCGTACCATGTTGCAAATACGATCAGATAAAATAGCGGAAATATTCAACCTCTCCTCCCCGGTCAGAATATAATAGTGGAGCCTGCTCCATATTAACATCAGTAAGATTAGAAGAAGCAAGGATATTAGAATTCACAAACTGATGCCAAAACCTAGCCTCACCAGTCAACTCTTTCATCAGTAGCTTGTCAGGAACAGTAGCGGACTTAAGCTTCCATTTAGAATAGGGAGTAGTGATCCCTCTCCTAATCATATCAGCAAGCATAGGCATCTCCTATCTATACAACATCCGCCCGGCTGTTGGCATCATCCTGTTGAACAGGTCAACATACTCACAAGGACCAGCAGCAGGATCATAATTAGTCTGCAAGAATCTCTCAATAGCCTCAGCAGAAAATGACACATCAATCCCTCTAACTCAGGATATCTTGGTGTGATCCAAGTCATCTAGATTAGCATTAGCACAAAACTCCTTAATAATAACACTGGAAGCAGGCTCAGCATAAGTTACCAGAACTTCCCATCGCCTTCTGCTTATAGTCCTCATGATGGGATTATCCTCATGCATGCTTAAACAAATATTTCTTTCCCTGATGAAATTCTTACTAGCATATTTGTCAAAATACCTTTCCTAGGCCTCCGTAGAAACAAATCGGAAATCATCAAAAGATGCAAAAGCAAAAGTCTTAGCCCTCTTGGTACCACCACTTTTTTTTCTTAGACTTTCCAGTTTGTGAGCCCTGAAAATCAGAAAAGTTTCCCAATACACATAGTATGACAACAGAGCAATTAGATCACCAGTAATCAAACAGGAAGTATATAACAAACCAACATTCCCAGATTTGATTCCAACCATATCTCAAGAATAAAAACAGAACAATTCAACAGTTGGAATCAAATTCAGAAACATAATGTTAACTCTTCTTAGCATACAACTCAGCACTTTAAACCAAATAGTCAACATACAAGAAGTGCAGGAAAAATCAGTAACTAACTAGAAACAAAAATTAACTAATACTAACTAACTAAAAATAAAATTAAAAAAATAAAATAACAAAACAATTAACCAAATAACGAATTAGAAAAATAATTAAAAAGAAGTAAATACTAACTAATCAGAAAACTAATAAAAAGAAGAAATAAAGAAAACGTACCCGTGAAGCCATGTGCAGAAAAAGAACACTCACAGTTGAAAACGAAAAAGAAATAGAGAGAATTGGGAGAAGAGGTCTGAATTCAAAAAAAAATGGGGAGGGGGGTAAATGAATCACAAATGAAACGCGCCATTTTTTTATACCCGGCGCGAAACTCGCGCCGGTTCTGGCGCGGGTTGCGCAAATTTGATTTTTTTTTTGCCCATTCTTGGCGCGGGTCGCGCCATACTGGCGCGGATGTCGCACCAATTCTCTATTTTTTTCACTCTTTCGGCGCTGCAACAGCGCCAAACTGGCGCGGGTAGCGCCAGTTTGCTGACTTTTTGGCGCGGGTCTCGCGCCAATTCCCGGGTTTTTCTATTTTTCTCTGCGCTGCAACAGCGCCAAACTGGTGCGGGTAGTGCTAGTTTTTTTTTTTTAATAAACTCTACCTTGGGTTGCCTCCCAATAAGCGTGTGTTTAACGTCACGAGCCTGACGGTTACCTCTTTATGTACCAACAGAATTAACATATTGAGCCACAATATTTTGTGACACAAGCCCTCCATGATAGAATTTCAACCTCGAACCATTCACCTTGAAAGGTCTATCTTCATCCAATGGTGATATTTCTATTGTACCATAAGGAAGACCGTTTTCACCACATAAGGACCAGACCATCTTGATTTCAATTTACCTGGAAACAACCTCAGGCGAGAATTATACAGCAAAACCTGTTGGCCAGGCTCAAACTATTTGTGAATGATTCTGCCATCATGCCACTTCTTTGTTTTCCTCTTGTAGATTCTGGCACTCTCATATGCATAATTTCTGAACTCATCAAGCTCACTTAATTGAATCTGTCTTTTCTCAAGAGCTTTTGTTGGATCAAAATTTTGAAACTTGATAGCCCAGAAAGCTTTATGCTCTAACTCCACAAGTAAATGGCAAGATTTTCCAAATACCAACTGATAAGGTGACATACCAATAGGAGTCGTAAAAGCAGTCTTGTATGCCCACAGTGCATCATCCAACCTCTTAGACCAATCTTTCAAAGAGTTTCCAACATTCTTCTCAAGAATTCGCTTAAATTCTCTGTTAGAAACCCTACTTGGCCACTGGTTTGAGGATGATAAGGTGTAGCCACCTTGTGTTTAACACCATATTTAGCCAGTAGATTATCAAACTGCTTGTTATGTAAATGAGTGCCTCCATCACTTATTATGGCCCTTGGTACACCAAACCTTGTGAAGATATTCTTTCTCAAAAAATTTACAACCACCTTGGCATCATTGGTAGGAAGAGCCACAACTTCCACCCACTTGGAAACATAGTCAACAGCAACAAGGATGTACTGGTTGGAATAAGATGAGGGAAATGGTCCATGAAATCTATTCCCCACACATTAAAAAGTTCTACCTCTAATATGCTATTTAAAGGCATTTCATCCTTACGAAAAATGTTTCCAGCTCTTTGACACTTGTCACATCTTTCAACATACTCCCTAGGATCTTTAAATAGAGTAGGCCAATAATAACCACTCTGTAAAACTTTTTGAGAAGTTCTATTGCCTCCAAAGTGTCCTCCTTAATCTGATGCATGACAATGCCACAGGATCTCATGTACTTCAAACTCTGGCACACACCTCCTTATAATTCCTTCAGTACATTGGAAATACAAGTAAGGGTCGTCCCAATGAAATCTCCTTGCATCCCGCAAAAACTTTTTATGTTGTTGCCTAGTAAGATTAGGAGGAAACTCTCGTATTACCTTGTAGTTGGCAATATCCGCAAACCAAGGAGGCATAAAGATAGCATAACTCTCTCATCAGGGAAGGTGTCATTTATTTCTTTTTCAGGACCATCTTGCAATTCCTTTTCTCGAATTCTTGATAAATAGTCCGCCACTTTGTTTTCCACACCAGCCTTATCTCTGATCTCCAAGTCAAACTCTTGAAACAAGAGCATCCACCTTAGCAAACGAGGTTTGGCATCCTGCTTAGTCATCAAATACTTGATAACAGAATGGTCAGTAAAAACAATTACCTTGGAACCCAACAGGTAAGACCTAAATTTGTCCAGTGCATACACTACTGCTAGCATTTCTTTTTCGGTTGTGGCATAATTTACTTGTGCCTCATTTAAAATCTTGCTAGCATAGTATATGACATGTAACAATTTATTCTTATGTTGGCCAAGGACTGCACCAATTGCATAAGCACTAGCATCACACATAAGCTCAAAGGGTAAACTCCAATCAGGAGCTACAAGGATGGGAGCTGTATTGAGCTTTTGTTTTAACAAATTAAAAGCTTTAAGACATGCATCATCAAAATAAAATTCAGAATCCTTTTCTAAAAGTTGGCTCAATGGTTTAGCTATCTTAGAAAAGTCTTTGATAAATTGCCTATAAAATCCAGCATGTCCTAAAAAACTTCTAACACTGGTTACATTAACAGGATGAGGAAGTTTTTCAATCAACATGAGTTTTGCTTCATCAACCTCAATCCCATTCCCAGATATCTTATGGCCTAATACAATTCCCTCTTGTACCATGAAATGACATTTCTCCCAGTTCAGTACAAGATTAGTTTCTTGGCATCTTTTTAAAACATGAATCAAATTATGCAAACATAAATCAAAACAAGAGCCAAAAACGAAAAAGTCATCCATAAATACCTCAAGATTTTTCTCCACCATGTCAGAAAAGATGGAGAACATGCACCTCTGAAACGTAGCAGGTGCGTTGCATAGACCAAATGGCATCCGTCTGTATGCAAATACTCCAAACAGGCAAGTGAAGGCTGTTTTCTCCTGGTCTTCTGGTGCCACTGGAATTTGATTGTACCCAGAGTATCCATCCAAGAAACAGTAATAGGTGTGTCCAGCTAACCTCTCTAACATCTAGTCCACAAAAGGAAGTGGAAAGTGATCCTTCCTTGTTGCAGCATTCAACCTCCGGTAGTCGACACACATCCTCCAACCTGTTATAGTTCTGGTTGGAATTAATCATTTTTATCATTGTGGACTACAGTGACGCCTCCCTTCTTTGGGACAGTTTGCACTGGACTCACCCAAGCAGTATCCGAAATCGGATAAATCATGCCCGCATCAAGAAGTTTCACCACTTCGTTTCTCACTACCTCCTTCATTGTAGGATTAAGCCTCCTCTGAGGCTGCCTTACTGGTCTGACATCATCCTCTATGAGGATTTTGTGAGTACAAAATGAGGGATTTATACCCTTCAAATCAGAAATAGACCATCCTAGCAATCTTATGGTTTTTCAGCACTTCAATCAGTCTTCTTTCTTGCTCAGAAGACAATCCTTTATTGATGATAACAGGGTAAGTCTTCTCATCACTCAAGAAGGTATATTTAAGAGTTTCAGGAAGTTCCTTCAACTCCACTTTTGGGGCACCATCTTCTTTGTCATCATCTTTCTTCTCAAGAACTTCAAATGCTACATTATTTTCTTCCTTAAAAGGGAAAATCTCACGCGCCCCAAGTTCTTCATCAAGCTCTTGACTAGAAAATTTTTCCTTTTCCACAACTTTCTCTAAAACATCTAGTCTAAAACAATCGCCTTCGTCAGAAGATTGTTTCATAGAGTCAAAGGCGTTGATGGTAATGGTCTCATCATTCATCCTTAACTCCAGCTTTCCGTTTTCAACATCAATCATGGCCCTAGTAGTAGCCAAGAAAGGTCTACCCAGCAAAAGAGGCATTTCAATTCCCTCTTCCATGTCCAATACCACAAAATCCGCTGGAAAGATTAACTTGTCCACTTTAACAAGAACATCTTCAACTATGCCGCTCAGTCTCCTCAAAGATCTATCAGCTAGTTGAAGCGAGACCATAGTGGGTTTCAATTCAGAAATTCCCAGAGATTTACATACAGACAAGGGCATCAAATTTATACTTGCCCTAAGATCACACAAGGCTCTGCCGAAATCAGTATTACCAATAGAAATTGGAATGTTGAAGCTCCCCGAATCACGAAGCTTGGGAGGAAACTTCTTCTGTATTATCGCACTACACTCCTCAGTGAGTGTTACTGTCTGGCATTCCTGCAACTTGTGTTTTCTTGATAAGAGGTCCTTCATAAACTTGGCATAATTGGGCATATTAGCCAAGGCCTCAACAAATGGAATATTAATGTGAAGCTTTTTGAATATATCAAGGAACCTGGCATATTGTTGCTTCTGGGCATCCTGCTTGAATCTTTCAAGATAAGGTGCCATAGCTCTCATATACTCGGGACTCAATTCATGCTTCTTTTCAGCAATCACATTCTTTCCTTTTTCAATTTCTTTTTCAGCGGGCTTGACTACTTCAACAGGTTTTTCACTTTCTTTTTCACGCTCACCCGCCTCATCAAGTCTTTTCTCTACTTCAAGAGATTGAAGAACTTTGCCATTTCTAGTTGTAATGGCCAAACAATCCTCCTTCGGATTAGTAACTGTGTTACTAGGAAAGGTACCTGGAGTTCTATCAGCAATTTTCTTAGCCAGTTGGCCAATTTGATTCTCCAAATTTCTGATAGAGGCATTTGTGTTATTGGTATTGGCTCTAGTCTCCTCCATGAAAGCATTTGAGTGTTGAGCCATTTTTCCTACTAACTTCTCCAAATCATAAGGTTCCTTGGGCTGGATCGGTGGAGGTTGCAAGTAGTTATTTGATTTGAAATCAAAACCAGTTCCCTGCACCCTCATATGAAAATTATTACTTCCAGAAGGAATATTCTGATTTCTTGGAATATTTTGTGGCAGAGGTCTTTGGTCATACCAAATGCCATTCACATGCATTTGTTGAGGAAGATCAGAAGACAGCAAAGAAGGACATTCATTAGACTCATGATTGTCCTTGCAATATTCACACACAACTGCGACAGCTTTAGTATGAACACTAGAAAGTTGCTTCTTATCAAGCCTCTCTGTCAGAGTTGCCATTTGCTGAGATAATAATTTATTTTCAGCTAGCACCACATCATTACCTTCCAACTGAAGGATACCTCTCTTAGGCTTAGATGACAACCCTTCATTTTCATTGCCAGCCATTCTCTCAATCAGCTCCAGAGTCTCATTTGCCCTCAAAGATTTAGTAGTGCCACCTGCTGCACCATTCAACACCATCCGAACCTCAGGTTTACAACCATTAAAGAAGATTCTCACCTGATTACCAGCTGTCAAGTTATAATGAGGACACCTCCTCATTAAATCCTTGAATCTGTTCCATGTTGCACACATAGTTTCACCCTCTGATTGAGTGAAATTGGTGATGTCATTCACCATCTAATTGTATCTCTCCATCGAGAAGAGCTCAGCAAATAACTCATAAGATAAATCATCCCATGTAGGAATGCTGAGTGCAGGCTGCCTTTCCAACCAACTGAGAGCTTTTCCCTTAACAGCAAAGGGAAACAATCGCAACTAGATTGCATCATTAGACACTTGAGGATGTTTGGTTGAGTCACAGATCATCAGGAATCTGTCTATGAATCTGTGAGGATCTTCATTCTCCTCTCCTCCAAACTGAGCTCTCTCCACCAATTGAATGTTAGAAGACTTGAGCTCCCAAGTGTTGTTAGCAATAGTAGGCTGAACAATGTCGAGTTGGGCCTGTTAAATGCTGAAGTAAGGATAGTATCCCTGAATGGATTGTCTGCATCATTATTTTCGGCCATGATTTGTGGTTCTTTAGGAAGAGTCTCTAACTCGTTGAATGCAAGCTTCTTCCGAGCGAGTTTTCTGTTTCTCTTTTCAGTCTTTGTAATCTCCGAATCAAATGAGAATTCTGCAGTTTTACCTCGCATACAACTCAGAAAGGAGATTAGTAGCACTTTTCAAATAAAAATAAAAATAAATAAAAATAAAATAAAATAAAAGTATTCAAAAAATCCAATCTTAAAGATCAAGATTATATGATATAAGAAACGCCAATCCCCGGCAACGGCGCCAAAAACTTGATGCTCACCAGCAAGTGTACTGATCGCACAAGTAATACAGTGATAAGAAAATTTCGTCTCCACAGGGATTGTGATCAAATATCAATTAATCGATCTTTTTGGGACAAGACGAGATTAAACAGATGTGACAAGATATTGTGAATTGAGTAATAATAAGAACTAAATTAAAATGTATTTTTGAAATTTTTGTTATGAAAAATAAACAGAGATTGATTTTATAAAATTGGAGAAAGCATTGTAGCTAGAGTGCACTCACCATATGATCTCACCTTTTACTCTGGATTGATTTACAATACTCATTTAAATAAATACTCAAATAATTTATCATCTAAAATTATTAAATAGTTAACCTTCAATTTCTCGCAAGGTTAACCCTTTAACCTCAATTGAAACCCCAATTCCTTGTGATGTTTCTCATGAAATTAAGCAATAAGCACGATAAATTAAACATCTACAATTGTATATACGTTTATTCCTAGCACGCATACAAATTGTTATCCTACTCCCTTTCAAGATTAAAAACCCCAATATTCCTATCTAGGGTTCTAACCCTCAAATTATCATCAACTATCAGATTGATCAGTTCTAATAAAGAGGATAGAAATTACGCACAGAGTAGAGATAAAGATAAATATATAAACGAGTAAATATAAATCAATCCATCATAAAAAGGGTTCACATAGGGTTTGTGACCCTAACTACAATAAAAGAAATTAGCCAGCCATAGACATAGCTGACATCCAATTATAAAATAGAATTCAAAATAAAATTACTAGGAGAAACGAAGAATGATCCTCTGCTATTCTCCTCTTTCTGGAATCCTTGTTCTGCTCCATCGTCCAAAAGAATCCTCTAAAAAACCCTCGCAGCATCTTTTTTAGTTCGAAATTGCTTCCACGCTGAAGTCCGCGCGGGTAGCGCCAAACTGGCGCTGCAACCGCGCCAACTCTCTGGTCTTTGTACTGCTTTGCTGAAGTCGGCGCTGCAACAGCGCCAAACTGGCGCGAGTAGCGCCACTTTCCTTTTTCAATTTTTTCGCAATTTCCTATTTCTTCTTGCTTTAACCTGTAAAAATTATGAAAAAGATGAAAAATAAACTGAAATAGGAAAACTAACTAATAAAAGTAATTAATATAAAGAAAATGCTCTTTTATAACTAATTTCTTATTATTTTTGGCTTGGAAAACATCACATGCCAGAGGCACATCAGGCTTCTTGCCCGACACCACTGCTACCTCCTGAAATAAAGTCCCCGAAGCGGGGTGAGATATATGAATATATCTCAGTAACCCAGAGGTTCTGGAGAATACTCTGCCCAATGGCTCACTTCGATGCAGATAAATAACATAACATAACATCTGAAAACGGGATAAAGCAAGAGATTTAGATAAATAGGGAAGCATAGGAATACAAAATACGACGAAGCTGGAATGGTCAATGCCAAAACCACGCAACGTCCAGCCTATTGGCTCGGCATATAAGCCTACGGGATTTGTTGTGCAATTGAGTAACCTTTTTTTTCAATCACACATTAACGCAAGTGCACGTGTCAACAAGTAATAAAGTGGATGTGTGAGTCCAGATATCGTTCCCACGAAGAAAACTATAAAATTAGGATCAATGTGAAGCAATAAAAGTAACAATATTTATAAAAGCTTGTGAATTAAGAACTAAAGACCAACCTAATACTAACTACTGACTAATAACTAAAAGCAAAGTAAAAATAAACTAAGAGTGCACTCAAGAACAAAGAAATCAAGTAACAAAGTAGATTGAGATCAATTTCTCTATTATTGCAGTTTCACCATAATGCAGTCACAATGCTACAACAATCATCCAACCAGTAATCCGAACACTAATGCATGCAAGTGCTCTCACCAACAATACATGTATACTAAGTCCCACATCTCTATGGCCAACATAGTTATAAATCATTAAGTTCAAGTTCCATAAGATTTTGTGGTATGAATGATCTCTCTATCCACAATTAACCAATTTTACTTAGTTAAACCACAATGTTTAATAACTTTCAGGATTCACCTATATCTCTATAGCCTAAATCCTAAGTACCTTGCAACTCTCTCTCGATGAATCAACAAGATTAGAAACAATGTAAACACTTTATTAAATAACTAAAAGGATAATCATGCAACAAAGTTTAGACAAACTGATTACATCACAATAAGGGTACTCTATCACCTAATCCTAACAATTTAGCTCATACTTGGGTGGAAAGAAACAACAAAGAAAGAAAAGGATTTCATAAAGCTAAAGTAAAGAAAGCAGGGATGTTGCTGTAGCACTGCTCTTGCAGCCACCATGAGCTCCACCACCATCAATCTTTCCTCAGCTGTTGAAATAATGCAGCAAGTTACTGGGTTCAATGATCTCTCAATTGAACCCTAGCTCCTTCCTTTGATCAGCTGGATTTCTCTCAACGAACCCTCAAATCCCTTCCAAGTGTTTCACGGCTTGGATCTTCTCCAAAAGCCCACATTTTCTCTAAAAGAGAGGCTGTCCAGCCTCAAAGAGAGACTCTCCAACCTATTAGATGCGTGTAGGCTTCCTTTTTTTTATAGAATTTGATGAATTACGCTCTAATTAGCTCTTCAAATCCATTACAAATTATGTTTAAATCTGCTCTGTTTTGCTGCAGCAATGATTGAAGATACAGCTCTATTTTGCTGCAGCACTAATTGAAGATTCTTTCCTTATTTGTTGCAGCTATGATGGAAGATACAGCTCTATTTTGCTGTAGCGCTGATTCGAGATTATTTCCTTATTTGCTGCAGCTATGATTGAAGATACAACTCTGTTTTGCTGCAGCACTGATTGGAGATTCTTTCCTTATTTGCTGCAGCGCTGATCAGAGACAACACATAATGCTGTTGCATATCTTATCAGATTCTTTCCAGATTTATAATTCAGATTTGAATCGGATTTGTAATCTTTGATTTGATGAAGATTAGCTTGTGATTTCTTGATGATTTTGAGCGTGTATCCAGATCAGGTTTTTGTGTACACGTTCAGAAGCTTCTTTCATCAATTTGGGCTTGGATCCATAGCTTGCTGGTGATGATGTCAACAATATGCATTGCTGACCTCATCTGCATTGCTACAACGCTGCTTCCCGATGTTACAGCATTGACCTGTAGTAAACTAACAAATGCATTTAAATGTTTTCAATACCTCAATTTATATCCAAATACTCATAATTAACATAATTCTCAATTAACTCATGAAATCATAAAATTCATACATTAATCATATAAAATCAAGAGAATCATATGTAATCATAGTACCAAAACATCACAATTAAGCCCAAAATAACTCTCTTTTGGAGAGTTATCAGGTTTCAAACCAAGGCGTGTAATATTGAGACAATCAACCAAGGAACCCTTCATCCATATCCACCCGAGACTTCCTAGTGTGCTCCTATCTGGATCACACACCACGACCCCAGGTCAACTGAAACTCCCTCACGGAGACCTATCCAGTGGAAGTCCGTAACGCCCGAAGGCAAACAGTCTACTGGTTAGAGACACAGTACATCCTATGTACCACCACACATACAATATGCATGAACATGCTATCCTATATTATTTACATACACTTCCTACCATTACCCTTAATGGGCATGGTGGAACACACAAGGGGATCAAACCCCAGTACCAAAGGATTACCTTACTAATCTCCTTCTCGTAGCTCTAATGTAACACTTCCTCGAGCTAGGTACACAAACATAAATGCCTACACAGAGGACATTCCCAACTAATTTCCATTCACTCAACACATGCAAGTTTTCAAGTACATATGCATGGTTCCAAAATACTTACCACAATCCCTTTTGGTTTGGGACCAAGGGCAACCCACCGAGCTCACGGTTCAAGGTTCAAATCCGCGTAAGTTAACCTAAATTGATCATATACAGATCATTAGAACACGATAAACCACCAAATTCACAAAACGTCGATTTTTCCTCCC